GTGACCAACCATCTCAGTTGGCAACCAAGGCATGGACCGTTGTCCCAGTGGTTATCTGATCATCACCAGCCTCTCTGGAATCATCTTCGGTATCGGACTGGTAGCCACGACACCCTCTGAATGGAGCCAGGCGGAGCGCGTAGCCCTCAGGGTCATGTATCTATGTTTGTGTTGCCTGTTTGGGTATCTGGTTTGCTTTGCTTGACCTACTCTGCCTCAGTTACCCTCCCAACATGTCAGTGTGGAGCCCCTGCTGAGCGAATCCCAATAGGAGGGGGGGGGGTAATCCACTATCCTTTTCCCGCCCGGGCCTTCGTCTCTAGCACTGATATGCCTTCAGGATGCATAAAGGCCAGCTCCATAAAATCTTGCCTCTGGAGGGGGGCGCCAGTACAACACTGGAGTATTGGGAGGCACCTTAGGGTACCAGAGTCGGAAGTGCAAACCGCACGGCACCCCCAGCCGACAGGTCTGCTGGAATTCTCACATACAGCTAAGTAGCCTGTCCCAATCAGAGTTTGAAAAGGTAAGGCTGAAGGCTGTTAAAGAGGTGGCCCACCGATTTAACCAGGAGGAGCCAACCTACCAGAGAATTAACCTTACCTCCTTTTCGAGGGCCAGGGCCATGGTGAACCCAGAAACCCAGGTAAAGCATTTAGTATCTGCCATATTCTCAGCTTACCAAACTATTAGAAACTCAACCCAGAACTGCTGGATTTGCCTACCCCTAGAAGAGCAAGGATATGTAGGAGTGCCAGTTCCCCCAAATTGGAATGAGACTAATAATCCAGCCCCCGAGAACCTGACTATAACCATTGGCCCTCTAACAGAGAGGGTATTTCTGAGTTCTGAATATACTAACCTTACATGCCTGCAGCCGAATACGACAGGTGAACTCCAGGTTGGAATCCTGAAAGCCAATTTCTGCCAGGAGACCACCCTAGTATCCAACAGTGCACCTTTATGCACTGAACCTGGCCTGTTCCTGCTTTGCGGGCACTCAGCTTATCGGTGTGTGCCAAAGGACTGGGATGGGCGATGCACTAAAGTGTTCCTAGTCCCAAGTGTCACAATCCGAACCACGGGAGAAGTCCAGCAGGCGCTCCCACACCAGGAGCCTTACCGGGTGAAAAGAGCAGCAGGAGCAGCTATTGCAATAGGAGCGGGCCTAGCTATAGGCATAGGAACCAGCGCAGGAGCCCTGGGTCTGTCGGCCACCACATACCACAAGCTATCAACCCACCTTAGCCAGGATATGGATCAAATAGCAGACTCACTTGCCACCCTCCAGCAGCAGATAAACTCCTTGGCTGAAGTATCCCTGCAGAATAGGCGAGCCCTAGATCTCCTCACAGCAGAAAAAGGGGGGACTTGCCTATTCCTAGGAGAGGAGTGTTGCTATTTTGTTAACCAATCTGGAATCTTAACCCAGAAGGTTAAGGAGCTGAAAGATGGTGCAAAGCGCTACCGAGAGTCAGGGCAAGGGACATGGAGCTTAGATACCCAAATCTGACTCCGCTGGCTGGCTCCATTCCTAGGCCCCCTGATATTACTCCTCTTAGGAATAAATCTAGGACCCTGGCTGCTGCTCACCCTCATTAATAACCTAGAGACCGCAGTCACCAGACGAGCCGCTGCTCGAGTGCTGCTCCTCCAGCATCACCGATACCAAAGACTCCCGACCCAACCCCAACAGAGTGACCACCGTGGCTTGTGTGATGATGCTAAGACTCAGGCCAATCTCGTCTAGCATCAAAGGGGGGAATGATAAGGGCAAGATGACTTAAGAGGAGCAGCCTAGCCAGAGACCCCCTCCCAGGTTAACTGTTAATCATTGCTTATCTGTTCCTGTAGCCCGTTTTCACATCCCTTCCCCCCGCCTGGGTAGCACATCAATCTCATCAATCTCCCACCGGAATGCTAATCCCTTCCCCCACCTGGGAAGCCCATCCGTTTCCCGCCGGAATGCTAGGGCTTATAAACCCCTATCTAACCCCGATTCGGGGCTCAGAATTTGGAGACTGCCTCCTCTGAGCCCGCGTGTGTGAATAAAGGCTTACTCCATTCCCTGAATCGTGTCTTGAGTCTGGCTTTCTGTAACAAGGCCTTTTTGAAAGCGGGGCTGCCCAGGCCAAGTGACAGGCACAGAAAATCAGCCTCAGGCCCTGGGCTGCCTTCCAGCAGCAGAACCAGGGCTTGAGCCATCAGTTTCCCTCCCTCACCACCGCCTTTTCAAGCCTTAAGGGTCTCCCTCTCCTGTACAAAAACCTAGGCAGAAAGCCCCTACTAACCTCCTGGCCCTGCTCCTTTCTAGCTCAGGAAGCCTAGCTTTAAGCTTCTTCCCACAACCGATGCTGCTTGGAACCCTCTTCCTGGGTGTTTAGTGCCTGGCCCCTGTGTCTTGTTTTGCCAAAAGCAGTGTCCCTGGTCTCTACCATTCCCCAATGCATCTCAAGGCCTTTTCACAGGCTAGTATTTCTTGTCTTGGAAGACACCTTGGAGGTCAGCTTCCTTGTCCTCACTGAGAGGGAAGGCAAGGTCCAGAGAAATGTTAGCTATGGCTTCTGCCACACTGCCATCTCTAAACCCCTCAAACTCCTATTCTGAAACTCCCCAGGGGCACTAGCTCCTCCTGCCTCTGTGGGAGCCAACATACCCTCTTAGCCATGTCTCTGTAAGAGTCCCAATCAACTATACCAATGCCTGCCTATCTTTCAAAGTGTGTGTTCCTTGTGGAATGGACTGTGTACCCCAATGGACATTTCCTGAACAAAGTGTCCTAAGCTAGAGGTGGGTGGCAGAGCAGAGCAGAGCCCAGATCTCCTGAGAGCTCACCCAGCACTCTCTCTACTGAATTCTACACCATCCCCTCCAATTCACACATTATCTACACATGTCCTGGCGCTTGGGTGACTTTCAAGTCTCTCCTCAATACCCGCACCCCATGGCAGCTTCACAAGATCTGAATTGGAGAGGATGACCAAGGCTTAAGCCAGGGGCTTCCAACCTTTTGGCATCTCTGGGCCACAATGGAAAAAAAAGAGTTGTCTTGTACCACACATTAAATACATTGCAACATGTAATCACAAAAAAATTTCATAACATTTTAAGTAAATTTACGATTTGCGTTGGGCTGCTTTCATAGCCATCCTGGGCCACATGAGGCTCACAGGCCGCAGGTTGCACACCCCTGTAAGCAGTGGCTGATCAAGCCTGGCTGAGGAATTCAGGCTGGTCATTCAGTTCTAGAAAGAACAAGAACATAGACTTAAGAGCCTTTTCCCAAGAGGGGTAGTATGTGTGTGTGTAAGAGGTAGGCATTAACCAAGGAGAAGAATCCAGAGAGCTCTGAGTCATGGAACTCTATAAAGAAAGGACAGGCGGGACAAGAACACCAGCCACAAAGGTTAAGGGTCCAGGCCTCAGCTATTGATCCAGCTATGGGGTAGGCACCAGAGACCCAGAGCAGTTGGCATCAGGGAGATGACTGAAAGTTTCCAGGCTCCCTCAGCCCCAGAGTGGAACGGCACTAGGGAGGTTCCTGTCTCCCTAACAGCACAATCTCTAGACTGGGTGGGGTACGTGGGAGTAGTTTTAAGTGAACTTGTCAGCCAAGGTGCAAGTCGGGCTGTGACAGCAGATCTTGGCAGGAACAACACCACTCATGTAGGGTTCTCAGTGCCTGCCATGTGCTCTTGTTGAAGAGTCACAGATTCGTTAGGTTAGAAGAAATCTCTCACTTTACTCATTTAAAGTGAAAATGTTCTGTATGTTAACAGGGAAGTGATAGGTGATAATAATACGGCAATACCACGTTGTGAAGATTCACTTCTATCTCCAAAGTCAGGATCAAGAAATAATGTGGGCTTGAAAGGAAGCATTTGGAGTGGAAAGAAAAGGGCTCCGAGGGGGCACCTGGAGTGGGGGGGGCTGAAGGGGGTGTTACCGAACAATGGACCCGGAAGGGGGGTGTTGCCCAGATGCTATTACCGAAAAAACAAACCCCCCTTTCCCGGGGTCCCTCGGTTGTAGGTCCTTTGCCAGCTGCCCTTGGAATTATGGCTCTGAATGGCAGAGTTTGGTGAAAACGAAAAGAACTATAATTTATTCAAAAGTTATACAGGTTTGATTAATGGCTAAATGTCACTCTTAAATCTCAAAATTTCTTTAAAATACCCATCAACACACACAGTCCTGCCTTCTCCCCTTTGCCCAGTCAGGCCAGTCAGGGGCACCGTCCTTCAGAAAAAAAAGAACATAAGTCCAGGGCTCGGCTAGGCAGGCCTCTCGTGGTTCTCAGCACCATCCGCTGCGTCGCCGTGATCTCCAGCTCTTAATCCAAAACCATGTGGCACCTTCTCATGGCCCACTAGCAAGAGTCCTTTCTCCCCTCTTTTCTTCCTGCTTGGTCTTCACACTATTCCCCAGAGTGTGTGTCCCATAGTCTCTCCCACAGGCCCCTGTCTCTCCTCTTCCTCTCCCAGTTATAGTCTACATTAAGTCTTTCAAACCTTCCTGATTAGCCTTGGTGATATGCAAAATAGCCCTCTTTGCATATGAGGAATGAAGCTATCCTGTTATTGACATGCAAAATGACTCTCAGTTGCCTTGCTCTAGGCTCCCATCTCCCATGGTGGCCTGCCCTGGGGGAGAGAGAATACATTTTTCTTGAACACCCCAATCTCCAGACCCCGTCACAAATACCGTTTGGGGGGCCCTGGATGTGCCTCATTACAGGGGTACCTGGAGAGGAAGGAAAAGGGATTTGGAAGGGGGCGCCTTGATTGGAAGGAAAGCAGAGATGGAGGCTTGCCAGAGTCATCCAGCAAGGGACCAAACCCTGCTTTTCCAGCATGGCAGTCACCTAATTCAACTTTGTTGCCAGACAATCTTCTCTATGAGAATAAGGCCCTTTGTACATCCACCCTTGGCCCCTGGGACAAGGAAAGCCTGGGGAGGAGAGGAAGGATTTCTTCCTTCTCCTGGGAAGGAAACAATGATCAGGACAGGGGTCTCTTAAGAGGCAATGGGGCTAGGTTAGAGCCAGGCTCCTCTTTCTTTCTCAGTCTCACTCTGCTTCTCCTGAATTTTCTCATCCTTGGTGTCTTGCATCTTTTCTGGCCTTGAATGAGCCACAGCCCCATGGCCAGAGTTACCAAAAGCAGGAAAAGGAGTAAAGCCTCGGCCAGGAAGCAGAAGGAAGCTGAGGCCTTCCCTAAAGGGTAGCCAGCATCTGGAACAGAAGCAGAAATGAGGGAGGGGCTGACCAGGGGGAGAGGCGATGTGCAGAAACCTACCCCAAATCACACAGAGGGGTCTCAAGTTCACAGTCAGCTGAAAGTGTCCTGGAAATACTAATTCTATTCATGGAGAGCTGCAACCTGTGGAGCAATCTCAAGCTGAGCAAGAGAAGAGAATTTGGAAGTTGGGAGTTTTAGGAAAAGGGAGGGCCCACTCCCCAATCCAGACATCAAATCTCTAATGGGAGGGAGTTAGGTTCTAGATTCCATGTATTCTCTTAGGAAGAACTGAGGGAGGGAGATGATGTCCTTGAGCCTCTTCAGTAGCTCAGGGTTGTCTGAGATCCTGGTACCTGCACAGAAGGACCCAACAGGGAGGGGATGGGAACTGATGTTGCTGATGGGGTTGCTGGCCCTGCAGGTGTAGGAGAGGGTATTGTCCCCGGGTCTCCAGGATGTACTGAGGACAGAGTCTCCATGAGCTGTGTCACCGCCATCCTCCCAGAATATCCAGCTGTAGGTCACATCCAGGTCTGCCTTCTCAACAGAGCATGTCAGGGACATATTACAGGGACCTCTGCCAGAAATCTCAGTTTACAGTGATGTAAGGTTGTGACAGCCATCCTAGGTAAGGAGCAACACGATAGCCCTCCAGGTAATCAGGTGTTGGGTCTATTTGCCTAAGTTCCTCAACACTGTGCTATGGATGCTGTGCTCTGAGAGCTCCTCTACCCAAACAACAAATAAGCAGAAACTAACAAAACTCAGTCAGCATACAAACCAGGGTTCCCTAGGCAGCCACTGAGACAGACAGAGCTGCCTGTGGCATCTTCTACCTCCCTTTTATACCTTGCTTCTCTCTCTTACTTTAACACCCCACCTTCTTCCAAACCCCATTCCACCTCCTTGATCCCAATACATATTGTTGCCTTCTCAGGAACGTTTATAGTTTAATCACTGTCTCAGCAAGATTCATGCTAGAATATCAGTCAGTGTCACAGGCACTAAGAAGAAACTTGCATTCAAATAGAGAGGAGCCATTGATTAGTACCCTCAAATCACACAAAATAATAAAAAAGGCTAAAAAATGGAGGTGGCATTCACCCTCCGCCACCCCCATGTAAATCTCACTTGGAGAGAAAGTCTCCTAGAGATCTACACACAAAGCCCCTGATCTCTCTATGTTGGTTATCTCTACAGGAACAGCCTCCATGCCCCAGTGCTTTGCTGCTTCAGGTCACTCTACCTGTGGCAGCAGCCCAGGTGCTGGGGTTAGATAGGCTGGGGACAGTCTGTCTTTCAGTCACAGACTTTCAAGTCATAATCCTAAGTCTTGAGACCCCTCATCCTTTGCATGGGAAGTTCAGGAAAACCAGAGAAAGCAGATTTGCAGTTCCCAAACTAAACTCACGGTAGATACGTAGATTGTAATGCTGCATGGTGGAGATCTGGGGCATCCTCAGGCTGACTTGAATTTGGTAAGGCCCCGAGTCCTCCAAGCTCAGATTGCTGATATGCAGAGAGTGGCTGGGACTCAGGAAGCTTACTCGACCTTGGTACTGAGGGTTGGTCACCATGATGGTAGCTGAATGTCCCTCTTTCCCTGGCACCACAGTAGCAAGCCTTATGTGGGAGGACCAGATGATGTTCTCAACCTCTTCATCAAATGGTATTTCCAGGGGTAAACTGATGGACTCCTGAAGGACTGTAACCATTTCCCTGTGATCCACACCATCTTCAGAATCTCCTTTGGCTTCAGATAAAGGAAGAAAAGGGATACAAACAGCCCTGCTTGTATATCTGGGTTGCTGGGACTGGCAGCAGAGCTGTGGTCTCAGTCTCAGGTGATCAACTTCTATGGTCCCATACTCATTCTTGTCCTCCAGCTGCCTCTTCTGGCTTTAACTTTCTGCTGCACTTGACTTGATCACCTTCCAGGCATTGGCTTCCATCTGTGTCCTCACCCTCCAAATTTTACCCTCTCTGTTTGCCTTATGGCACTGCTCTCCCTTTCATATCCTCAGGTTTCCTCATCTCTTGGTCCTGCCCTGAAGCCATACCCTATTCTTTTTCACTCCGGAAGAGCTGAAGCATTCAGCCCCAAAGCTAGTGCCTTGCTAGCCCAAGGCCCAGCAGAACAGAACAGAGTGGGAGAGACACACTCTTGTCCTGGAGCTGCAGTCTGTCTTAACTTCCTGGAGCAGCAAGAGCAGGAACAGGTAAGAAAGTGTCCCCATGTCAGCAGCCCCATGCCTTAGTAGGTATGGCTTGGTCAGCATGCAAGGCTGTGAAGAAGCCAAGCCATCATGAGGCTACTAAATACAGTAACTTGTTGACAGTCCTGAGGAGAGGGAAAAAATGCGCACCCTATCCCCAGCCCTCTAACTTTCTCCTTTCTCACAAAGCCCCCCACTCCGTGTTGGGAAGATTTCTCTATCTGAGCCTCATTGTCAAGATGGTTTACCCACTGATTCATGTTTCCTGTCCATCAACTCGGCTCAGATCCCACTTACTAAGTGAAGCTATCCTAGACTCCCCACCCTCTATGTTTCCATACCCCCCCCAGATATATCACCACCACTATCAAACTTTGAGAACACTTTCTATCCAGGCTTGGTGGCTCCTATATAGCTGTGTCCATTTGATCTTATAAACATCTTTATCTCCCTAGACAGACTCTATCTTTTGGGACATCTGTATGTCCCACTGTTTCTTCCTCCCATGCTAGACACATGTAGCTCAACTGATATTTTTGGAATGGATGAATGAATGAATGAAATCTTTCTATTGTAGTTCGAGCTAGTTATGTTGCCAACTGAGAGACTTATTCAGCAGAAGAAAAATCTGACCCTCTTAAAAAAAGAAAAATGGAAATGTTATGTGAGAAACTCAGTTCTTCTTGCCTATGCAGTAAAGAATTACAGGTCAGCAAGTCTATTAGCATGTAAGCAAAGTTTATTAGTGATATGTTCTCATGGAAGAGAACGGGCCTTGCCAATGTGGGGGTGAAAGTTGTAGGCTTGGGTGGCAAAAGCAAGGGAGGCAAGAGCATCAGGGCCTTTGCCCTGAGGACTTACAGAGTTGATGGGATGGGGGTGAGGGAGTTACATACTGATCGGTGAGTAAAGATGGTCCCAGCTTCCCTGAGGGGATATGACTACCCAAATGTAGGTATGTGTGGAGATCTGTTTCCCCAAATTCTTATCTTGCTCCAGACCACATTTGTTCATCTTGTTGTAAAACAGATATGTGACAGGAAGCAGTTTATTAACGTTGAGGCAGTTACCCAAAGTTTTTGGGCTCTTTCTGTAAGCACTAGGGACCCCCTTGTAAAACACATAGTGACCAGAGGTAAACAATTAACCCAAGTTGTTTTATGGGTTTCTTCCTCAGTACTGTGGACCCCCTCCTCTTCCCCTTCCAGGTCTCGGGATGAATACACAGTTTCAAAGGCTTTCTTTCCCAGATAGTAAAAATGATACATATAGAATTTCAAGGGCTCCCTCCTCCTGTGCTAGCATGCTGTTTCTTGTGATGTTGGAACCCCTGGCAATATTATCAGACCAAGCTCAGGACTGCCAAGTCAGTGGGTGAGACATGTCTCCCTCCTCCTTCCTGCCTCAGTTTACTATCTATCATACCTAACAGAAAGACTTTAAATCATTTTATGAGGATATAATGTGGATTAAATCAGATTGAAGGTGAGTACAAGGAATCAAAAATCTTTCTAATGGTCAGAGCTGTCTAGAATGCACTGGGTGACCTTCGGAGGTAGTTTCTACCCCCGGTATTCAAGCTAAGACTAGACAACTACTTGCTTGGATATTCTGCAACATCTCTGGCATTAGATGGTATATAGATGTAGATGTGAACAGAACCAATTTCATCTTTGTATCCCAGTTTTCATGCTGTAATATTTGACTAACCTTACTGTCCTTAGCAAGCATATCAAAGCTTTCTAGTTTATAATTATCTGTATTCCTTAAAATGTAGCCCTAAATATTTTTGTTAGTAACAACTAGAGTGGCATGACAATCAAGAAAATATTGGGTTGGCCAAAAAGATCATTTGTTTTTTTTTGTTAGATGGCTCTAGTGGTGCTTAGTTGTCTTTAACTTCATTCAAAACAATTTTGTTAGATTGTATTGTGACAGCTGTTATATCAATGTGCATTTCAAAATTGGTGAATTTTTGTACAGTCATTTTAATATTGAAAATGGAAGAAATATGCAACATTTTTGGCATATTATGCTTTATAATTTCAAGAAAGGTAAAAATGCAACTGAAATACAAAAGATAAAAGATTTGTGTAGTATATGGAGAGGGTACTATAACTGATCAAAACGTGTCAAAAGTGGTTTGTGAAATTTCATGCTGGAGATTTCTTGCTAGATGATGTTCCACAGTCAGGTAGACCAGTTGAAGTTGATAGCAATCAAATTGCAAAATTAATTGAGAACAATCAATGTTATACCACGTGGGAGATAGCCAACATACTCAAAATATCCAAATCAATCAAGTTATTGATGAAAACGAAAAACGTGTCTTTTATTTTACAGAAAAAAAAACATACGGACTTCTTGACCAACCCATATCAAATATGATCGTGTCAAAGATAAACAATCATCCATAAAAAGACTGCAAGGAGGTATGGCCCCTGGCACTATTGCGTTTTTGGTCTTGTCAATCATTAGTGCCCAAGTTACACTATTTTTAAAAGAACATTGTAACAGAAGTCTGTTAATAGAGACTAATTTACACAAAACTGCTGAGTCATTTTTCTGCTCCAACTCTACATTCCAGTAAGTAAACTATGGAGTTGCCTCCATCGCCTTTTGGTCTGAAGATACCTTCTCATTATGGTGGCCATTACACATTTGCCCCATTGTCGGACGGAGAGATATTCAGACTAGATAATTTTTAAATTTCTTCTAATAATCAGTTCTATGAGTTTGTGCTATGATGAGGAAGCAAGAGTGGTATTTCAAGACGAAGGGCACAGTGGAGACAGATATATTTGATTCCGGTCCTGTGCCAGAGTTTCATACATTTAGGTTAGCAAATTCAGCACTCGATCAAATATTTAGTGAGAAGCTTCTATGGTGCAGGTACTGTCCTAAGTGTTGGGAGATTAGCAATAACCAAGAGTTTTAGATCATGACTTCATGAAGATCATAGGCTAACAGTAAACCTCAGACAAGCAAGTGCAAGTCTGATGAGTCCTATCAAAGGAAAAATTGGGGGAGCCTATAACAAAGAGATTTAGAAAAGTTCGAGTCAGAAGAGTGGGGAATATCTTTCATAGACAAATGATATTTGAGCTGAGACCTTAACGATGAGTAGGATCTCTTAAGTGAAGAAGGGGATAAATTAGATGTTAAATTTGTGAGCATCACACCTTGAGGACTGGGAGTTTTTGAAAAGGTAGATCAGGTCTCAGTATGAGTATGAAAACTTTTTATGTAATCTTGCTGTTTTTAAAAAAATAAAGTTAAAGCAAGGGGAAAAAACCAAGGTCATATGCATAATATTCAGAGTTTCAAGGGTGAGTTTATCAGTTGTCTTCTTTAAGAAGCAGATGCTGGAGCTAAGAATGAGAGAGGTTTAATGTGTGTATATATGGGGACGGAGGTAATGCCTGTAAAAGATAAAAGGGGAAGGAAGCAGAACTGAGCAAGGAGAGCCTGGGGCCAAGATGCAGAGCAGTGTCTGCCAACTCTGCAGGGAGCTCTGAGCTGTGAGCTAGCACCCTCACTGTGCATAGCCAATGGCTGTCCAGGAGGAGCACAAACCCTGCAGATGCTGCTGCTAGGGGCTGTCAGTTAACTGCATCTCTTGGAGCTGAAGACAAACAAGGTCTCTCTTGAAAGGAAGTCCAGCAGCACCTTCAAGGCTGCTACAGTGAATGTGCTGGTCTGCAAAAAAGGTAACTCTGTTTAGATGGATTAACCCTATCTATAGATAGTACATTATGCTTATTGAGCTCAGGAAGCTAATTTCATTTTCCCTACCCCCATTTCCACTGAGTCCTTCCAGTCAAACATGGAGAACGTACTTCTCAGGGCATGGTTTTCAAGTGCTTTGGAAATCTGATTTTCATTCTGACTCACGGATTGTGATCCCAATGCAACCCCATTTCTGTCTCTCACTGCCCCATTGATCTTACTCAGCAAAGTAGTCTTCCACTGTCCCAAATGAAAAGTCTGGCCTTGGTTCTGTGTCTCAGTTCAGAAATGAGAACTTCCTGTCCCTGTAGTATACAAAATCCCAAGCTTGAATTATAATCAAACTCCCCTGGCCCCAGCTTTTATCTGTTTCCTGCTGGAGCCTCCAGTGAGGGGAGGGTGGAGGGGGTGAGAGGTTGGAAAGCTGTCTGCTTACTCTCAGCTAGCCCCAACACCTCCCTCCCTCCCCTCAACTCACTTGCCCTGATACATGTCCTTTCCTTTGTTACGGAAAGCCAGACTCAAGACACGATTCAGGGAACGGAGTAAGCCTTTATTCACACGCGTGGGCTCAGAGGAGGCAGTCTCCAAATTCTGAGCCCCGAATCGGGGTTAGATAGGGGTTTATAAGCCCTAGCATTCCGGCGGGAAACGGATGGGCTTCCCAGGTGGGGGAAGGGATTAGCATTCCGGTGGGAGATTGATGAGATTGATGTGCTACCCAGGCGGGGGAAGGGATGTGAAAACGGGCTACAGGAACAGATAAGCAATGATTAACAGTTAACCTGGGAGGGGGTCTCTGGCTAGGCTGCTCCTCTTAAGTCATCTTGCCCTTATCATTCCCCCCTTTGATGCTAGACGAGATTGGCCTGAGTCTTAGCATCATCACACAAGCCACGGTGGTCACTCTGTTGGGGTTGGGTCGGGAGTCTTTGGTATCGGTGATGCTGGAGGAGCAGCACTCGAGCAGCGGCTCGTCTGGTGACTGCGGTCTCTAGGTTATTAATGAGGGTGAGCAGCAGCCAGGGTCCTAGATTTATTCCTAAGAGGAGTAATATCAGGGGGCCTAGGAATGGAGCCAGCCAGCGGAGTCAGATTTGGGTATCTAAGCTCCATGTCCCTTGCCCTGACTCTCGGTAGCGCTTTGCACCATCTTTCAGCTCCTTAACCTTCTGGGTTAAGATTCCAGATTGGTTAACAAAATAGCAACACTCCTCTCCTAGGAATAGGCAAGTCCCCCCTTTTTCTGCTGTGAGGAGATCTAGGGCTCGCCTATTCTGCAGGGATACTTC